TATGAACCCTCATTTTAAAGCTTAGAGGCTTGCTGTTAAATTCAATAGCCTTTAAAATGAAGGTTAAAGTTTTACCGAACGTTCAGCTGTTCTCATTTCGGTAAAATTTACCGAACACGGAAACAAAATCTTATTGTGTACACTTGTTATTACACTGAAACAAGGACCATAGTTAGGAATACTATTTTGCAGAAAACACTTATTTTCAATATAACCACGATTATTACCGTTCAATCTACTTTGACTTCAGTAAAGTTTACTATGAATATAAGCAAATTTACTATGACTCTGGCAAAACTACTATGCTTGCTCAAAATGCATAGTTATTTTGACAGAAATAACAGTAACATTAAATGAAATTGTTTTCTGCAAAAATCTATTGGTGAGGGTATTTAATTTAAACCAGCAATATAGTATTTTTGCCGATGGATTTTGTATCAGTGTAGTAGAGATAGGGGCGCCACCTTCTTGGTTTTAGCCCCCTCCCCCCATAGTTGCGCCAATGCAAAGTAATAACACCATCGGAGATATGTGACAATTTTCCATCTATTCGTAATGCCAATTTGTATGATTGAATTGTTATTTCTTGATAGAGCTGAAATTAGGGCGTGACAGCTTTTGTAAACAATGACTTCTCTCGATGATTTCTAGAAAGCCAAGGCTTGCCCACTCAAATCAACATCAGCATCGGGTAGGGGAAGACTTCCCCTTCCCGTTGGTTATGTTGGTGTGCTTGGGCGGGCCTTGAGTTTCGAGAAATCATCGAGAGAAGTCATTGTTTACAAAAGCTGTTACGCTCTAATTCCAGCTCAATCAAGATTTGTGAGATATCGACGATGGAAGTCAAAAGTGACAGTTACATTATATCGAGATATACCTACCACACTTAATGGCATACTCGACGTTCGGTACTTTTTTGCGGGCTAAGCCCAGCAAAGCTAATTAATTGCAAGGCTATCGGCTTTTAAAAAGTTTGATACCGAACACAGTAATAACAACAATCAATACGAAACTAACGATTTTAAATTGGCTCACTACTTGACTAGCCTATTGGTCCCAAGCAAATCGTTTAACGTACCCCATTCCAGTCAAAATTCTAGTACCACACAATGTTTGTTTTGATTCGCTATGAAAGTTTGACAGATAAAATGAGGGGTTATTGGATTTTCCTATGTTTCGAGGGGTGATTCGACTAGCTTGGGACCGAAGATAGTACCAGAGCTGAGCCAAAAAGTTGAGCACGTTTCTTCGGGACCTACTTGTCTTAGAGTTACCTCTAAGGTAATAAGACTTACAGGAACCCAGTATATTCTCTCGTTCTGTAAACTTAAATTCATCCGTGCTGTGAAAACGGCCATTTTTTGATTTTATCAACCTCGTCCTTAATTTTGAAGCTGGTATTCCCGAGGGTATTCCCACATCTACCGTGTGTTTTCAGAACTTTCTTGGAACCATCCGTCCATTTAAGCATAACGGAGATCAGGGATCTTTGACTAGATCCTCTACTAAGGTATCGACCTTGGTATTGACCATCAGCGTCAGTTCCGAAACGACGTGTGGTTTATAAATAAAATTGTCTGGATAATCTTTGATGCACCGTGGATCAGTATGGGAACAGTCATTGGTTTGAGTTTTCGTTCTGGTACCTCTGTAACCTGTAACCATCGCAGGGCTGGTAGCGATCACTGCTGTCAGAAATAGTGATTTTAGTGACCATGTTGAATAAATGAGTGACCAAATAGTGACTTATAGTTGTAAAAATAGTGACTAAAAAGTGACCTAAGAGAAGGTGCATCAAATAAATGTTTGATGTTTTAGACCTATTCAATAATTATCTCATAAACACTTATGAATCTTTAAAGCAAAAGATTCAATAGAAAGCTTATAACCAAACCCACGGTATTAGTCACGGTGTCTACTAACTTCAAAAAACTGGAAAACCGGGAATCCTCAGGAATTTTTTTGTTTCTTTGAAATACCTGGAAGTCTCAAAGTATTTAAAAAATGTCTTACTAAGGATATTTTAAAGAAAATAATGAATTTTAAAATACAACCATTTAATTTTTCTCGTTACTTTCATTCACACTTTGAACTTTAAAGATTCACAGTGGATCAATCTTCAGTAAGAAATAAACTTAAAAAATAAATATTTTTTTTTGTTTCTGAATACCACTGTCCTTCTGTGAAGTCTCCGAAGTTTTTCGAGAATTTATGGAACTTTTGTGCTCCCGCAATTTTCATGGAATTAGAACGAAATAATTAATATAATTCTATGACTATGATTTTCACTGAAGTTCTCCAGATTTTTCTGAAGTTCATAAAACTTCCCTTAAATTATCGACACTAATTTAAAACTTCTTCAATAGTCTAGACTTTCCTGGTGCCTAAACGATTACTGAATTTCTTTAAAGTTCTCTAGACTGCTCAGTATTTTTAAGAGTCCGCAACTTTACTGAAATCAATTATTAATTGTCTGTCTGTTTTCTGATATATATTCATAATTCTCTGACGCTTCTGACATTTTAAGATCAATCATAGAATTCTTGGAATACCCTATAATTCCACGGAACTTCGCTGAATATCATTAAACTATCTAAAATTCAGAGATGAACCAGCCGATGGCTGAAAGTCTCTTTAATAAAGAAAGATAAGATAAGATACTATCTAAAAATATTTATATTTAGTTATCTGAAATTTCTTAAAGATATCGCTGCTTGCTAAAAGTTCTTCGTTGATGTTCTCTAATCAATTTAGCTCAATTTTCGCATTTTTCAAGTTCTTGTAATCTCCACGATATAACCCCCTTAAAATACTCTCACGTTTTCCGGATGTTGACTTTCCAGGAATTCTCTCGGAGCTTTGCTGAAGTTTTCTGAAATTCACTGAGTTTCTCGAAACTTCTTTGAGGTTTCTAATATTTCCTTGAAATTTTATGCACTACCCTTTGATTCTCTGACCTGTCTTGATGTTCTCGAAGCTTCTATAAAGCTCTTAGTTCTATTGAAAATCTCCGTTCTGCTCGGAAATAAATAGAATTCCCGTAAACACCTTTAAATTTCCCTGAAATTCATTGGACTTCTGTGAAGTTTTTGAAATATTTCTGAAGTTTCATAAAATCTCTGAAGGTGTCTGTACCTCCCTGAAATTCGCGGAACATCTTAAGGGTTCTCGATTTGTTTTTCAGCACATCCTGGAACTATTTTAAATTTATCTAAATTTACGATTATAGATTTTTAATCTATCTAGCTTTTCTGAGGTGCGTAGAACTTCTTAAAAATTTGCACAATACCCCCCAAGTTTTCTAAATTTTTCAAGTTCGCTTGACACCTATGAAGTTCTCTGAAATTCTAGGAACTTCATAAAAGGCTTTGAGGTTCTTACAGCTTCCAGTAAGTTTCCCATATTTTCAGCGTGTTAACTTCCCTTACGTTCCTACAGTTTGTTTATAGAGCTTCACTGAAATTCTCGACATTTCCTTTCATTTCTCAGAACTTCTCCAAAGTTCCTACAATTGTTGTAAAGTTGATGGGACTGCATTGATCTCTAATCTTTCAAAAGTTAATTACGAACTTGAAATAAATCATTTATTTGTTTACTTAATTCTGGCACTTTGAATATTTTCAATATCTTCTTTCAATTACATGGAATACGAAACTTCAAGACATTGAACATTTTTAGATCTTGGACTTACTTGGAAAACTCAGCTAATTTTATCCAGAAAAATTAGTAGACATCCTGTGTATAGAGAAAGACGATTAAAAGTCACAACGCAAAGAAAAATCAATCTTGAAATAAATTCACGCTAAAAAAGTTGAAAATAGTGACTTATTACAAGAAAAAGTGACTTTTAGAGACTTTTTAGTGACTGACTTGAAAAAAGTGACCATGTCACTAAAAAGTGACTCGCTACCAGCCCTGCCATCGGATGATGCAAAAAGGTGTAACCTTTCATTCCATGCGGTATTGGGTGAATTACAGCATGTCCTTCGTGCTTCTGCGGAAATTTGCGACATAGCTTTCCTCCTGTACACTGAAAATGAATCTTACTCAGTCAGATTTACTCATTCGTATCGGGAAATTTCTAAAAGCGTAGGTTACTCATGTTAAGAGTGACCTACGATTTTCTCCATACGAATGAGTAACAGGTACTTAAATCCTAGGTACTTAAATCCTTATTAAAAATTACGTTTTCATTGTAGCCCACTTCAGTACCGGTTCAACTTGTGGAGATCTACATGCCGAAGGATATATTTATAGCTCCACGCAATTCAGCTGAGAGATGTTGATGTTATCAAATTTTCCAAGGAACTGTCCATTGTACCTTGGGGCTTGCATGAACTTAACAGAAGAGTTTTGCGAAACATAGGATATGCTAAAGCCAGGGAATACATTATGTACAGGCTACCTGTACCCATAGCACGATCGAGTGGCAGGCAATGCACAAGGCGCGTAGTAAAAATAGCTGTCAACTGATTCTGTCCTTTTTGACAACAGCTGAGAGCAAACTGAAAGATTATGTATGTTCTATTTCATTGGAAAAGGTTGATAGAATCCATAAATGGCCGTTTTTATGTCTGATTTGCTTTGTAAAATCGACCATGATAGTGGGCATTTGCGGATTCCTTCAACCTTGTCTTTAAAGTGTTTCGCTGTGAGATCCTTATTCTAGTAATCACTTCGAAACTTCAAGTGTACACAGATCAGCTTCAAGGACACGTACCACAATGAAACTGTAACTCCACGTTTGCTACACTGCAGCATACATAAAGTAGCAATTTCAGGTGAAATGAGGCTTTAATTTATGAGATTTGTGTAATTTAAAAATCGAAGTGGTAGTGCATGTATAACCTTCGGGCGGTTATTTGTGGACTCTACAAGGATGTTCATTTAGCTTGTTTTCATCGGTATCCACTCTTTGACGCTTGATAGGATTTCAGAAAAATTAAGAACCTAACTACACAATCTTTTAAGATATCCATATATATATATTTTTTCTTTGTCGATAGTAACAAGTTAGCCATACAATTTTATAATGTTAAATCCAATGTCGTTGGAATACTATCCCTGCTAGAACCGGAATCTGCCGAACTCAGCGTTTCCTGGGTATCTTCCTTGTTCAACCGTATAATGCTTGGATCCTTCTTTTCTTTGCTCTTCTCGCGTTCTCTATCACGGTCTTTATCCCGATCCCGATCCTTATCTTTGTCCTTGTTATGCTTGTGCTTATGCTTATGTTTGTGCTTCTTCTTGTCTTTCTTCTTCTTTTTCTGAAATGTCGAAAGTAAAATTATTAGAAATATGAATTTAAAAAAAAAACAATCATAGGGTGATTCCTTGTAGCGTCTTTTTTCGCAATGCACAAGTAAAAATATTAAGGTTTTTGTGAATGCATGTAGTTGAAACCAGTACTTGTTGCTTACCGTGGAGGAGCAAGCAATGTCTGAAATTTACTGACTTACCTATTTAAACCTCGTAAATCTTGAGAAAAAGGACGCTACAAGAAAACACCTTAAACATCAACAATCTTACCTTGCTTCCATCGGATTTACTACCAATGCTCGGCTCGGACGCAACTGTAGGCAACGCTTCGGATGATTTACTGAACATGCCCGGCTCGAAGCCGGTTGGACCAGTCACTGAACTACTGCTAGGTGTGATTCCCGGCAGCGATATAGAATTATCCGAATAAAACTCCGTTTTTGATTTCTTCTCCGGTGGAGGCGCATCAACGTGCGTCTCTGAATTGTTATCATCTAGATCGATAATTTCTTCCTTGAGAATCGATTTTTCCGTTTCTACAATTTCGGTTTTTATGCTCAAATCGACCGTTTCCAAAATGATGTCCTCACGGATTTCCTCGGCTAGAAGAGGTGAACCTTCGCGACTCTTGGACATCATCAGCTCCGTAGGACCAATATCGATCAAGTCCAGCGGCTTTATATCCAGCGGGCTCGAGGATCGAGGACGTTTATGCGAAAAAGATTTTAGTTCGATTTCAGATGGTTGGTCAATCTCGGGCGCACGATCGGTCACCGCTGCAAAAGACGATGCTAACTTCTGCGGTTTCAGGATTGATGCTAGTTCTGGGTTTGGCAGACAGTTTGGAACACGTGTGTTGTACAGTGTGTAGTACAGATCAACCATATCACAGCGAAGTCGTGTGTCGTGCGAAAGAAGACCACTAAGAAAAGATAGGAATGATTTATTACCATTACAATTTCATCCAACTCAACTTACTTCATATTATTCCAAATCCTTAGTGCCAGTTCCTCCCGATCCAGCCTATGCTTGTTACCCTTATCGAATGGTAAATTTTCGATCAGTAACCGACCCAACTTATGTCTAGCCATCGGATCTGGATCCGTTTCTAACATATCGATCAAATGTTCCAAATCCTCCCAGCGACCGTCAATTTTTACAAAGTCGACCAGACATTCCATTGCAGCATCCCGAACGTCGATGTACTGGCCGTAAGCGGCATAGCTACGGTAGATTTTCGGATTCGTCGGCAGATGGCCACATTTCTGTAGCTTACGGATTACTTTGAGGCACGCGATCGATACTGTATATTTGTACGACGGGAGATGCTTCTCGAGATTGAGTATCCGCGTGACTTCCTCCAGGACTAATCTGCGAAACATTATGTAAATATAGACGGTTAGAAGTCAATCGAAAACCAAAACTAAATCATCCAGGTATCTACATATTGTACATGTAGAGCGGTAGAATGCATTGTTCGTCAGGGAAAACATTGCAAAAGTACTATTTAAAACTACTTAATGGAATACTGAACAAATTATCTCATAACAATATCACAATAAAAGATTATTGAGAAACGAAAATTGAACGGTAGTGATCAACTTCACCCCGTTTTACGGTACTTTCCACACATAAAACTCGCTAAAGCACAAATTTGTTATTATTAGAGAAGCTTTTCAACGCATCACTTAGCGAAACATTTGGCTTGTAGCTGCAGCTATCGGAAATTATGCATACAATGTTTTGCGGAAGAGCTATTAACTGGAGGCCTAGATATCCCTTTCACAGACATAATAATACAGTTCAACAGAAGAGGCGGGGCAAACAATAGGCAACGATTGCATGCCACATGAGAAAGCTTTTCCCTGTACTATTATGAAATATCGGAGAGATCCTGTAAAAATATTGTTAATAGGTAAAAGCATAAATACCTACATTGTCAATAATATTGATGACAAAAATATTGATGCAAAGATTGACACAGAATCAAAAAAGTTTAATTTTTTCGTGTTTCAATATTCCATTTCGCTGTGACTAGAGCAGCAGATGGAAAAGATCCTGTGCGATTATGCAACATTACCACTTCCGAATGAGATTCTGCCTACTTTTGATTGCTGCTAGTTCTTTTCACATTCGAGGTAGTGGAATTCTGTGAATATTTTGCCAAAAAAGTCTTGGAACAGTCCACCCGACATAACATCAATTTAGAAAGCAGCAGCCCTGCGTTGATGTGTAGTGGTAAGCGTGACTGCTTTCTCACCCCAATAGGTCTGGGTTCAATCCCAGCCGAAGTCGGTGGGATTTTTCTGAGGCGTAAAAATCTCTGGTCACAACTTACTTCGGAAGGGAAGTAAAGCCGTTGGTCCCGGCCCATGTGTGTTTGAATGGGTGCGATATCCTACGCAGGTGTGGAAGCTGCCTTCCTGCACATTCAATTGCCGTCAATGGATGGCAATCGATGCCCTTCGGTGATTGGCACTAGATTGCGGAACAGAGACCGACGTTAAATAAAAAGAAAGAAAGAAAAGGAGTCCTGTGTTGAAACCAGAAATACTGTATAAAGTATTGTCGTCAAAATGTTATTAAAAAAAAAGTTTCGACATTTGTTTTAATGCAACACACGATAAATTGATTTCATGACATTTTGGTTAAAAAATAACCACTTGTCTGGGTGGAGACACTTATCCATTCGTTAAGATTTATGATGTAAAAAGTAAAAACTGTATTTAAGCACAGAGAACAGACATTGAGGCTCGAACAAAATTTCTCTAAAAACTTGTGTAAAGATATCTATTTGACTTAAGCGCCACTAACGGCGGCTTCCCCACTTAAAAACCCTCTTTGACAACATGATGGCGCAGGCGTTGCACAATTTACACTATACACTAAGCACTGGTAGTCCCAAGTGGCAACAGAAAATTTATTGATACTAGCGCCAAATTGGTCAACAATTTATAGAGCAAATCAGGAGATGCTAGCGCCACGTAACGGCGATGTTCCCACTTATCTTTACACAAGTTTCGGACTAATGTCGGACGTATGTTTTCTGTGAATAAACTTAGACGCTAAAATATCGAGAAAAACGAAAAAATTCATTTGACCATCTTTTTCCAGAATGGTCCCACTGTGCATTTGCGCGACCTTGAAACCTTCATCATATAATAAATTTAACACTTTTTTAAAATGAAGAACCCACAGCACAGTTCGTTGCTGTTTCAACTCAAAAATCTTGTTATGATAAATTTAGCACTGCATAGCACCATGCAAATATTACGAAAGATTTCAATAATACATTTTCTTAAGTTTTCTAATTCTTAGAAATACCTTACGAAATCATGAATAACGCAGAACATGTTAATACCTAGCAAAATCTTAAGTAATAAGTACATGGTCCCATAGTTTTAACATGAACAAACCTCTTTATTTGGTTTCTGTTAAAAGGCTGTTCTGAATAATTCTGAAAAGGTTTTTAGCAAGTGTCCATCTCAACTGTTGTAACTGTCCTCTAACCAATTTTAAAATTGGGTGGGGTTAAAGGGCCGAATGCCTAATGTAATTCTATTAGTACGAATAACAAAGCAGTGCACAGTCGTCACGTTTTAAACCCAACGTCTGAGAAAACTTACGCTTCTGAAAATTTACTAGGAAATATGGAATTCTCACAGTGCAGATCTAGCATAGAACCGCTATTCGCATAACAGTTTGAATAGAACATGCGACTGTTATGCGAATATCGATATTGATTGAAGTCTGCCTGAAAAAGGAGTTTTAGCAAGCTCGGCAACGAAATTTAGCGTCAAATACTTACTTTGAGTCCGCCGAAAGGTTCTCCGATGTATGCGTCATTCCCTGGTGGACAACGGAAATAACCGGAGTAATCGAGTTCCCTAACGCCTCCACCAGTGCCGCCCGGTAGTAATTATCCGAATAGTGATTCTTTGTGTTATCATTATACTTGAACAAATCCAACAGAAATCGGATAACTTCAGGTGGACAGATGCCATGTGCCGTTCTTAGACCTGCCATAGCAACCGGAATGGTTTTCTGCAGAAAGTAGTGCTGGAAGTTGGTAAAATTGTTCTGTCGAATAATATGTGGCGCACTGAACGATCCGAAAAATTTCTTGAAGATGGTCAACATCGCCGGGGGGCCCTGCCAGGACGTTACCATGGCATTGGCAACCTTTGTCAAGCAGTGTGCTGCTTTGCAGCGCACTTCGAAGAACACTTGCTCATTTTCAATGGTATCCGTAAGTGCTAGCCGAGTCGCTGGGGAAGCGTACCGTTCAAGGGCAGCGATTGCTTCCAACTGAGCGGTAACGTCCCGTTCGTGACGCAGCTGAAATTGCCACTGAAAATCCGGCTGCTCGATGTGGACCGATCTGAGGAGAGTCATTTCCGGATCAAGGCGTATCCATAGGACGGGAGATTCGCTGAAAATAAACAGAACCGTTTTTAGATCATCTCAAAGAAATGACAGCTCACAAATGTGCACTTACTCCATAGGAGACAGATCCATGTCAACTTCCTCTCCAGTGCAGAGCGGGATTTTCTTCTTTTTATTCCTCCTACTCTTAGAGTGACAAGTGATATCCGCTTTAACAACAATATTCTCGATTTGCAGCGTATGTTTAAACGTCCCATCCAACTCCTGCAACTGAATCAACAGGGGACCGACATACTTCTTAACACCTTTCTGGTTGACTGCATCCTGACGAACTTCCAGTTCAATCGTATTTCTCTTTCGATTGAAAACCGAAGTCATGGTAAATTTTGCATGACCTCCAGTGCGAACCCATTGATCGATAAAAACGGCCATATCCTTTCCAGTCACGGTAAAGATCGCTTTCGTGAAGATGTTTGTGGAAATATGCAATTGATGCCACAATCCGCTGCTAATCTTCGTTGAAGCTGCATTCGACGCCAATGCCAACTGTTTGTTAAATACCTGTAAGAGCAATTCTTGGCCGATTCTGTGCTCCAACATTCTGATAACTAAATGAGCTTTCTTTCTCATGATTTCGATGTACTTTGGCGAGATTGTGTGTAAATTTTTTATCGGAAAGTAAAATGGATTATCGTTGTAAGCCTTAGCTGGAGCCGCCGGTGACTGATTGATACTGGATACGGCTGGTGGAGCCGGAGCTTGACTACAATCCAGTATGATTCCCCCAAATTTCTCCTCGTATTTCACCACCTCAGCTAGCTCGTCTCGAATCCAGCTCCGATATGCATTGTTTCCAAAGCACTTTTTTGAGTAGAGTCCACACATGTACTCGGCAATTCCACGGGCCAGCCACGCATCGGACCAATTCTGCATCGTGATAAAGCAACCGAAAAACTGCTCTGCAATTGCTTTCGACATTACCTGAAACAAAAGTTTTAATGCGCTTTTGGATAAATATATACCATCCATACCTTTCGGGACACGAAGGTCTGATCAATGATGGCAATCGAATGCAACAGATGTGTCGACAGAATCGTCATTGTAGCGTACGCATTTCCATCATTATCGATCTCGTCCACAAACACTTGTTTGTAGCAGGTAAACGGATATCGCTGCGTTAGAGCTTCCTCGTAGAATTCAAATGCTTCATGCATGTATCGTACAGTATTCTTCAACAGTGGCATCATCTGCGGCAAACAGAAGTGTGTCACCTCATGCATATGCGGATCCACGTAGATTTCGAATGGCCCAACTGCAAGGGCAATATTCGGAGCAGATACCGGAACCGACACCGTGTAGTGATACGTCTTCCTTCTGAGGTCAGGAGTCATAACCACTTCAACCAGTTCTCCACAGGAAACGGCCGTCATGTTCTTATCGACCGTAAACTCCAACTTCCAGGTACATGGTTCCGCATAGCTATCCACACAAGGGAACCAAAGCCTCGAAGAGTTCTCATGACCATATGTAAACATATGTGCCGCTCGTTCTTCTATAGTCCCTTCTCCTTCGGGAATAACGAAATGTACTCCTCCGGATGGATCCTCCAGCGAAAACTCAATACCAATCCTCAAGCCCCGTCCTTCCCCTATTAAATGAGTTGCTTGTTCTGGGACAACTATCACCAACTCCCCCGCATTGTGGTCCGAGTCTGTTTTCTTCGCAGCTTCCAGGTGACATTTTGAGAAAACCTCCAACGATTTATTCTTAATTTCACCCTGACAAATGTCCAGGAACGGGTCGAAGTAGTGAAATGTCGCTTCGTAGCTGTCGTTCAATATCACACGATATATACGACATTGCCGGCAGTTCAATCGGATGATCTTTAGCGTTTCCTTGACCGGAACTATTGTCAACTCCACGAATCCGATGATGCTCTTCCGCTCAAAGCTAATGCCGGTCAAGCTGAGAATCTGATGCGCTGTAAAGGAGAAAGCAACGAAATCAAAACAAAATGTCAAAATGTATAGGAAACAAGGATACTTATAATTTATACGGTCGCACGTTGTCCGCTGTTTTTTCTTTTTTCATTTTTGGTAAAATTCACTCAAATTAGACACTCATTTCTACCAAAAAATTACAATTATCTGAGAAAATCTCAGAAAATGTTTACTGTTGTCACCAAAAAATGACGCCTGGAGTTAAAACTATAGATAGTTATTGAATAGATGTGCGGTACCAAATTTTGTATCCGATCCGAACCTGGGTACTGCGGATCCAATGACATTTATATAAGGTCTGGGCCAACAGGCAGCTTGCTGGTGTTAGAAGCAAAAATGTTGTAAACATTGCTGAACATCTGCTAACAGATAGATATACGTCACTGCCGACATACTGAGAACAGATAGAAATACGTCACTGCCAACAGCTGTTTCGTGTAAAAAGATAAACATTGCCATATAATACGAACACCACTAACCATTTGCACATTTCACTAACACCAATAAGCCCTTTGGCCCAGACCTTATATAAACGTCATTGCTGCGGATCCAATGAAAAGATCACCGAGGGAAAGCAATCGGTTAAGTTGTGTGAGTGAAACCACTGTAGTATACAATACCAATGACGTTTATATAAGGTCTGGGCCAAAGGGGTTATTAGTGTTTGTGAAATGTGCAATTGTTTAGTGGTGTTCGTATTTTATTGCAATCCCTAATAAACAAGTACCATAAATGAACTGTATCCCGGATGGGTAAACTATCGCACAAATGGTTTGGATTATACCCTGAACACGTCGTTAAGCTCTCTTTTATGGTTATTTTTATTAGGGATGTTTATCTTTTTACACGAAACAGCTGTTGGCAGTGACGTATTTCTATCTGTTCGCAGATGTTCAGCAATGTTAACAACATTTTTGCTTCTAATACCAGCAAGCTGCCTGTTGGCCCAGACCTAATATAAATGTCATTGATACAATACAAACAATTAGTGACGTCACTAATTGCATTTATGTTGCTTCTTTGGACAATATTTCACCTCTCTTTGTACTCATTGCTGCGGACTCACTCATGGCGGTAAGCTCCAACTCAGATTAACTTTTAATACCATCCCTGTTTGGATGATCTGAAATATTTGCTTAAAGTCGCGTTGATTCACTGCATTAAAGCAGCCACACATTCATGATCGGGATTTAATCCAAGGATAATACCGGTTGGAGCTTAACCACCATCAAAGTATATCGACAGTGAGCATGCATAAGGGCGTAAACGTGATGATCAATTTTCTCTTTTGTTAATAACTCGCTAGAATTAACGTTTCTCGGTGCGTTTGCTGTTGCTTATGATAGCCAATACAACATGTAACAACTCTGCATTCAACAAATTCTAGAAAATTGTTTCGCTTAGCTGTAGCAATGCAAAGAGAAAATCGACTATCAACTTTTATAAACAAAACGTTCATTATTCTTTTCTCGCCAATCGAACGCAAATTAGAAGCATCATCGGATAGGGGAAACTTTCCCCAATCCAAAGATGGTTTTAATTTGCGTAGGCGAGTCTTGAGTCCGGTTGTATTGGTGCGGTATGTGAGAGTGTGTTAGTGAAAATCTGAGAAAGATACATAGCAAATCACTGTCAAACTCATTTTGACATATCTAATTTCATACATTTTCTAGGTTAGCCAGAGGAAAATAATAAACAACTTTACACGGCGATGCTGTGCGTGCGTTAAACGTCACTAATTTCTATAGCTGGTGTGCTCTTTTCTTTCCCATTTATGGCACAGACCTAACTGGTCCATATTTGGTGCTCTTTCCTGTTGTTGGTCTTGATTGGCTCGATTGGTTCCGCTATTTGACAGCTCAATTGATTCCCGAAATTCTACCCACCAGACTATGAATATAGCGTCTATAGTAAACATGTGAAACCTGTGAAACCCAAGAGAATTTGTCGACTCTTTTGTTCCTCTGCTGTTTGAATGATTGAAAAAATGTCGAACAAAGGCATGTGTGTAAGGCTAGAAAAAGGGAAAATATTCAGTGTCAACAATTCAAAGGGGCGTAATTGCATTTGTAAACAATGGCTTTAGTCGTCGATTTCTCGTGAATGAAAGTTCACTCATGAAAATGAATGACACCAGCATGCGAGGTAGGTTTCCTGTATCAGCTAGCATTTGTAATTTGGAGGGGTGGGTTTTCATTTGCGAGAAATCGACGTCTAAAGTCATTGTTTACAAAAGCAATTACGCCCCTTTGAAATGTTGGCACTGAATATTTTCCCTTTTTCTAGCCTTACACACATGCCTTTGTTTGACATTTTTTTTTTATTTGTTACTTTTTTACGTTTTCACGATGGTTCGTTACATGGACCTTGAGTAAAATGGCTTTTAAAGTTTTGACTTCGTATTTATTGTACAAGGAATAATTTTTTTAAATAACACATAAACGCACTTTTTTAAGTGCAAACATTCTTTATTCAGTTTAGTGTGTGGGGAGCAATATTATAGTCAAAATACACGTGGGAAATACGTTATCAGCAATGCGGCGATTTTTTCTAGTGTACAGATAAATACAGACATATTTCGACAGTGAGCATTCATAAGGGCGTATACGCGATGATCGATTCTCTTCATCGATTTTCTCTTTTCTTAATAACTCGCTAGATTTAACGTTTGTCGGTGCGTTTGTTGTTGCTTTTGAAAGCCAATACAACCTATTACAACTCTACATTGAACAAATTCTACAAAATTGTTTCGCTTAGCTGTATCAATGCAAAGAGAAAAACGATGAAGAGAATCGATCATCGCGTATACGCCCTTATGCATGCTCACTGTCGATTTTTTGACACTCTTACAGACTTTGAAAAAATCATCTGGCATCCCTGCTGTAGTCGTTCCGCTGTAGCAAAATATAAATAAACAGCACACATTGCATCACACGCTGCGATTTTACGGTTTATTGTTTTCTCAATTTTCCAGGAAAACGTAACTTAACTGTTTTAGACTCAGAATGTGGCCACTACTTGTACACTTTCTACGGTCAAATGCTGTATATATTACCCTTCCGGTGGCCGCTGTGGTTGGCGTAGTTGGGTACAACATTGAGAACCTGCTTTCCGATAAATACACTCCGTACAGCGGTAAGTGATTTTTACTATTTCGCCGTCTAGTTAAAATTTTACAGAAAGTTTTCCAATCATTCCAGCATCTATAGAGGAGAAACGAGTGGAAAGAATCACAGATGACGCCCATCTTAAGGATGCGACGAATGTCGAAAAACTTGTCTACAAAGAAAACGTTCTGGGTAGAAACCTATCTCCTTCCCTTGAAAAAAAGTAGAATGTTCTTTTTTAAAGATTGTGTGTAAATAAAGGGATCATATGATTGATTTTTATGTATGTAATTGTAATTTATAATTTTCTCTTAGCTCCGCGAAAACCAGGCAGTTGTAATATCCTCCCTTTTGCTAGAAGGAGCAACGACGCTGTCGCTTATAACAAACTTGATTTTGTATTTCCTCTGACTTTTCTCAATGGTGTGCCGAAAAGCGTTATGCTGAGATTGCTACTTCGTCGCACTAACTACAGCAATAGTGTTGTTGACTTTTCATTGAGTACGATCCTTAGATAGATGAATTTGTTTCTATTGCGTTAATTATTGCTAAATCTAATGACCAATTTCCAAAAACAGATATTACAAAATGTGTTTATTCCGCTTCTCGCGTGACGCGTACCGAGTCGAGTCGTTTATGTCACCCAATTCCCGTACTCGAATAGAGTGACAATTGTCGATACGAATGAACTCCGATGAACTTTCGGTGTATTCCCATAGTCGATGTATATCGACAAAACTCGGATCGGAATGACGTTTTCATGCGAGTGTTGTCGATACGTCAGAAGCAATCGAGAACGTTTGAAAAGCGTGAAAATGGAAGTGAAACGGTAAGTTTTGTGTGTGTGTGTGTGTGTGTGTGTGTGTGTGTGTGTGTGTGTGTGTGTGTGTGTGTGTGTGTGTGTGTGTGTGTGCGTGCGTGCGTGCGTGCGTGCGTGCGTGCGTGCGTGTGTGTGTGTACGTGTGTGTGTGTGTGTGTGTGTGGGGGGGGGGGGGGGGATGAAACACCCACCAAATGAAAGGTATGACCACGGTTCCACAGAGCGAATAGTTGTCTTGGGTTCCGAAACACGAATCTTATGCTTCTAAACCCTCCGTCACTCGCCCTGTTGTACTTTGTACAACACACATGAGTTTTCCATTGCCATTCTGTTGCTGAGTTACCAATCGTTCTGAAACCAACGAGTATTCCTCAAAAAACTTGTTTTGATTTAAAGAAGCTAAACTTTGATTACAGTAAACACCTAAAATAAGGATAATAGGGAAAATGTAAATGAAACCGCGTAAACTGTGGCCATACAACGTGAGATTTTACTTCATTGATTACAACATAGAATATATCGAGATCCTGACCAGATAGAAAGTTATTGCCTTGAACAAAGTTGTTCAGGAGGTTAAAGCCTATTTTTTGGGCACAATTTTTCAGAATTTTCTCACTACGCGGCGTTAGTATACACGTAAAATTTTCATGTATAAAATATCTCGAGATCCTGACCAAATAGAAAGTTACTGTCCTAGGCAAAGTTGTTCAGGAGGTCAAGGTTTTTTGGCTGGTGAACAGTAGTTCAGAATTTTCTCACTGCGCTGTGCTAGTATACACGTGCAATCCTCATATATGCTACAGCTCGAGATCCAGAACAGCTAGAAAATTACTGTCTTCGACAAAGTTGTTTATGAGATCAAAGCTTTTTTGCTGGTAAACAGTAAATAGTTCAGAATATTTTCGGTATGCGGCGCTAGTGTGCATGTAAAATATTTGTATATGCTATAGCTTAAGGTCAGGAAGTAACTGTCATCGTCAAAGTTGTACATGCGGCAAAGTTCTTCCGGATGGTGAACATGCAAATGAGTTTTGTTCAAAGCTCTCTAATGTTACGTCCAATTTTTGATCTCCTTAGGTTATTTGCATGGTATAAATGGTATAAGGGTTCTACTACTACTTTTAGTTTCAATTTTTTTCCAAGTCAATTCTGAGAAAATCAATCATTATTCTTAAGAGTAAATTTCGAAAAATAGTGTAACTTTGGGTGAAGCTTTGGTATACAAAATTTGAAAATCATATTGAGCAATTTGCCCCTTCGTATTTCCATTTAAAATCTTTAAAATGTTCTAAAAAGAACGAAAAATTGACGTTTTTAGGGCATGTCCTTGCACTTATGATCGGGAGTGTACAGTTTTATAAATTTATCCATTCAACTGAGCAAAAATGCCTCACTCTCTGAGTTAGTCTCGTTGTCGTTGTGACACGTTAATACAAGGATTTTTTTTGTTCTGACCCCTCAATAAGACATTTTGAAATTAGCCTTAAATGAAAGGGAGACTCTAAACATTCATTTGGTGGAAGTTTCAACGATATTGATCTTTTAAGATAATGTTTTCTATCTGAGATACGTGTTACCACTAATTTATCAAAGGTATACAAATGGAACGACTCACCTCAATTTATGTATCCACAAATCTGCATGAAAATCTTCACCTATAAAAGAATTCCAGAATATATTTGGCTTATCCTACTTAGGCTGATGTAAATTGTATTTTTATTTTATGATATTTGATATGCGAGAATTGCCCGCCAAACGATCTTTATCTCCTCAGCAGCTTTGCCAACTACAGTAAATTTCTAGCTGTTCAGGATCTCGAGATATTATATATGCGAAGATTTTACGTATATCCTAGCGCCGCATAGTGAGAAAATTCTGTACTGTCGACCAACGAAAAAGTTTTGATCTCCTGGACAACTTTACCGATGACAGTTTAGCAGGTCTCGAAATATATCTAATGCGAGAATTGCACGTGTATACAAAATTAATTTCTGTTCACCAGCCAAAAGGCTTTGGCTCCCTGAACAACTTTGCCGAACATAGGTCAGGATCTCGTGATATTTTACGCCGCTTAGGAAATTCTCAACTTTGCGAAGACAGAAACTTTCTATCTGGTCAGGATCTCGAAACAACCCACATGCGAGAATTTCACGTGTATTCTAGCGCTACGTAGGGAGAAAATTTTGAACTACTGTCCACTAGCGAAATCTATCTGAACAGAATCTCGAGATATTTTACATGCTAGAATTTTGCGTGTATACTAACGCCACTTAGTGTGAAAATTCTGAACTATTGTGCACCAAGCAATAGACATTGACTTCATGAACAACTTTTTCGAAGACAGTAATTTTATACGTGTTCAGAATCACGAGCTATAGCATACGCGAGAATTGTACAAGTTTACTAGCGCCACGTGGTGAGAAAATTCTGGGCTACTGTGCACCAGCCAAAAAGTCTTGACCCAATGAACAAGTTTGCCGAAAACAGTAGCTTTCTATCTGCTCAGGATCTCGAGCTATTGTATATGCGAAAATTGCACGTATATATCACATGCGGGAATTTCACATGTATTCTAGCGCTCCGTAGTGAGAATATTCTGAACGACTCTTATGTCAGATATCATTCATCGTTAATATTTAAAAAAAAACGTTTATAACTTATAATTTCAGATAGTGTGAACCAATCTCAGATTTTCTTAATTAGAGATTTGTTGGACTCCAAAACCTTTCGATTGGTGGTTGGTATGTCAAATTTGGATCAGTGGTTCTGATGATAACTTCGACACCAGTCAATTTCTTATGACATTCAAGAAAAAAAAAATTATAAGGTCCCAGGACCTTTCGTTTGGCAGTTGTTTTGTCCAATTTGTTACAGTTAATGAGGATATATGCCATTTTGTACCAATAACCTGGCATTCCCAGATCATTAAAATCTAGATATTCCTCGTTCAGGTACTGTAGAGTATCAATACCTTTCGTTTGGCGATTGTTTTGTCAATTTTAGTTTAGTTGTTGAGAAAATATCTTGTTTTGTACCAATTCCAGATATTCCCAGCTAAGATACTGCCTAACGAAAGTATGCGGTTGTTTTGTCAAATTTGGTTCGGTAGTTGAGAAGATATGTGATTTTGTACCAATGAACTAACAAACCCAGACTTTATTCAGGTCATAACTTCAGAACTTCTGAACTAACTCCATCTTCTTCTTCTTCCTCGCATTTCAAGCTTATTGATTGCGTATGGCATATTAGCTTATTGCGTGCTCTCAACTTAGTGTTCTATATGCACTTCCACAGTTATTAATAGAGAGCTTTCGATGCCTGTACCATTTTTGCATTGGCATAATTGTGTGGCAAGTACAATCATACTCTATGCCCAGGGAAGTCGAGAAATTTTCCAACCCGAAAAATTCCTAGACCGGCCCGGGAATCGAACCCAGCCACCTCCAGCATGGTCTTGCTTTGTAGCTGTGCCTTTACGGACTGAGCTAAGGGAGAGAACTAACTCCAAATATTTTTAAATAGAGTACAGTGGGACTTCAATTCCATTCGTTTGGCGGTTGTTTTGTCAAACACGGTTCAGTTGTTGAGAATATATGATGTTTTGTACCCATAACCAGGCATTTCCAAATCATTCGCGGTCATAACTCAAGAATGTCTGATCCAACTCCAGATAATCCCAGCTAAAGTACTGTGGGATTTAAATACCTTTCGTTTGGCAACTGTTTTGTTTAGGAGATATGCTGTTTTGTACGAATAATTCAAATTTTGTCAGATCTTGTTTTATCTCCGGATCTTGGAATTCCTAAGATATTCAATAGCGTTCGATAGGAGGACTACAATACCTATCACCTGGCACTTGATATGAATACCCTTATCTGTAAGAAGGGTAAAACCGGCTTCCTATCGGAAGTCGACTTGTTGGCGATGGCTATACCCTTCTTCTCCTGGTCGATGAGATTGGTCCACATTGCGTGGACTCAACGGCAGGAGGGGAGACTCGGGCTGCGATTTAAAACACGCTGACTTAAATCCCCGCCGGGAAGAGATTGTTCGTCGAAGGACTTGAGGTTCGCGCGGTGAATATTTCAGATGTTGGCGGTGCCATTATAAAAACAAGTGAAAACATTCTGGATGAGCTGCACACTTAGGTGAAGAAGTGGATCATTGATAAAACATAGTGATGAATTAGAATCACGATAGTGAAAAAAATAAAAAATTCAACAAACAAGAAAGAAGGCAATATGAACTTCAAAAATACTCCAGGTTAATTTAAGGTGTTTCGTCTGAGATTATTTTATTCATTGTATCATTCATAGGCACTTATCCCGTCGCAACGCTTAGCTTCCCTTTTCGAGAGTCAAATACCGTTGAACGGTTTCGATCTTGGCTTCTCGGCTCCAATCCCGCTGTATCGCGGATTTTCAATTTCTTTCTCCAGGTCAAGAAAACCAAAAAAAGCAGAAAACTCAACTAGTCGGAAAAACTTTCCACTAAACACCGGGTTTGACTACGATTGGTTGATCACAAAAAACAGATCTTCGAATTAAAAACAACAAACTTCTCTCAAAAAAGGACCAAATTACATAACCGGTGGTGCTATCGAAATGGCACAGAAAGTTACTTAGAACCTTAAGCTATAATTCTCAAATGATAGAAAAACGTGTGCTCTATTGTTTTTATCCATATCTATGATTTTATTTATTGAAAAAAACTGATATTTATACCAAAATCAAATTACTGTTTTATCAGAAAATACTGCATACGTCCTTATTATAGCTTCCGCGATGAACTCTTTCAGTTTGACGTTTCTTGAAATGAACAGCACTTCGCGTGCGATTCATCCTTCCTCTCGATGCAAAATGAACATCTCGCGTCGTGCGAGTCGACAGTCGGAATAGAGTGAGAATTGTCACGCGAGAAGGAAACGAGAATGGTCATCTCGATTCGCGCGAGAAGTGGAATAAACACAAAAGTTTTTTTTAAGTGATGAGCGGGGGATGAGCCATATTTTTTAGAATCCGTAGGATGTCTTCGCCACTTAAATAAAAATCTAGAACATGCGTCCTAGTTGGTCCGTAGATCCGTAGTAAATCTAAAAATCCGTAGATCTACGGATAAACCCGTAGAACTAACCACGCTGAACATTAACGGTGCTACCACCCAGCGATGCCATGTGTGCTGATTTTGTACACGAAACAGTTTGGGACTTCCTTGTTTATTTTGATACCGTAATGCTGGGTTTAGACTAGGCAAGTCAAATGATCAACTCAGTTGAATTCAATTGGCTTGAAAAGTTGAGGCTGGTTCAACTTTTTTCAATTCAAGTGAGTTGATCAAGTCAGTTGAATGGCATGGTTTACACGTTCAAGTCAGTTGAATTCAACTGACTTGATCAATTGACTTGCTCTGTCTAAACCCAGCTTAAGGCACTGTAACCACTGTGTGATTGTTTTGATAAAAAAGTGCGCAATTTTTTTTCTCTACCGAGGGGGCAGCAAAACCACAAAATTACCTTGCATACGGGGGTATTCATTGGATGAAAGGGACCGTGAAAGAGGACAGTAAAATAGAAAGTTTTCCGACAGTTTCATCTTAGTATTTATCTTTGGTTTTATCATAATGATACACTAGTTTTATCATAATGAAAATCCTGTTATACTTTCTACCAAATTACTATTGATGATTATTAAAGTCAACTAATGACCAGAAGACGTGCAAGAAAGATAATGTAGGTAATATCAAGGGTAATATCATAGAGGGTAATATGTCATATAAAGTGTATTAATGGGCACAACACTGCATGCCTCGCGAAGGTGCTTTGTGAGTCAGTCGATCTAAATGACGTACGTTCTCCCATCTCTTGGGTACAAACTTAGAAATTATCGCCGACTTCGGTAATTTTTACCGAAATCTGAACAGGTGAACTGTTCGGTAAAATTTATGCAATTCAATTGCTTTTCAGCTACTTTGAAACTAAATCTCCACTAAAATGACAAGATTTGATCATTTAAACAAGGTTGAACATCCCTAATAAAAATTGTATGGTTAATTTGCTTAACGACGTGTTCTGGGTATCATCCAAACGATTTGTGGAATAGTTCGATGATTTGGGTTATCGTTCGCTTATGATTATTTTTTATTAAGGATGTTTTCAAATTATTTTCAAATTCAATAGGGTAAACGCTCCTATAGTAGCGGTACGTTAGAAGCGTTAGGTTACTATAGTTGTATATGGAGACTCAATACACAACTATAGGAACCTAACGCTTCTAACGTACCGCAACTATAGGAGCGTTTACCCTAGTCTTTAAAATTAATGTCAAAGTTTTACCGAACGTTCAGCTGTTCTGATTTCGGTAAAATTTACCGACACGGAGCCAAATCTTAGTGTGTAGGGGGAAAATATTGACAAAGTGAAAAGAAAATTAGTTTTTCAATAATACTCGTCATCAATCTATCGTCATCAATATTACCTTTTCAATAATATTGTCAGTATGTCAATATATTGACCCGTGTAACGAGCGCTTTAGCGTGTTGTCATTAATGTTGTCAATATTTATGTATTGATAATATTGTAAGAAAAATTGACAATACGATGTTTGTCAATATATTGACATGTGTAATGGGCGAGTCGCCCGAGTCGCAATACAAAGCAGGCACTGTAAATCGATGATTCTGGTGCAGTAAGTTAAAATAATTCGCCTGGCAACACTACACGGTACCGATGACAGCATTTTCTGTAAACAAACTCATTTCTGTGAAAGTATCCCGTAATTTCGGCTTTGTTAAGTTGCGTCGTGTCATTTTTTTCAATAATTACAAGGTATTGATGTGATAACAGCAATCAAACTGCGCACAATTATTAATGGCACAAGTTCGTTTAATAACACATTGCAGTTTTGAACGTAAGCGCCATGGAAACACCCAATATGCATCCATTGCCTCGGCTGCCCACGGAGATTTTGGTAACCATATTCCAGCATCTGCCGATGTCCGATTTGGCTCAAGTGCGGCTCACTTGCCATCATTGGTACGATACGGTCTGTTATACATCTTCCCTGATGGAACGGTTCGTACTCTCATTTAAAAATTGCCGTCTGTACGAAGGTTGCGAACAGAGCCGTGTTTTGCCCAAGTCGAAAAGCTGCTACACCAAGGCCACTCTTAAGGCGGTGGCTATCGAAGAAAGCGATTCTTTGTGGCGCTCGCTAGGAGAAAATCTGCAGGATCTCACATTGAACGACTGTTCACTCTCGGGTGATACGCTGGTTCAGCTGTTAAAACTCACTCCAAACCTGCGATATTTTGCCCTGAAAACTACAAAATTCGAAGACTTCCGCATCCAGGATGTCGCCGTTGATTTCAAGTTAGAGAAGCTGGAGACGCTTACTCTACGATCTATTTTTATATATGATGAATGTTTCGATATGTTTAAGCAAGTTTGTCCCCGTTTAAAAGTCCTCAAACTTAATTATTCTTCATTTGAGGGCTGGGGTGAGAAGCTTGTGCAGTTTGTACAAACGGTTCGAAGCACACTGGAAGGAATCAATTTGAGCTACACCAAAGTGAGTGCAACTCTTTTGCAAAAGATATCCACCATCGAGAGGTTGAGGCTGAAAAAGATATCGTTGAAGTCTAGCTACGATCTGAAGCAGCGTGATATTATACAACTCAGTCGGGTTCAACCCACGATAGTGCACCTGAATATTGACAATCTGTTTCCGGCGGATGATCAGGTAAATCATACTTTGTACACATGTCACCATAACCCTGTGATCAGTATGACCTAGCGAAAATATTATCCTTGTAGATACTCGGCGAGATAAGCAGAAACCTACCGAACATGAAACGGATCAAGCTTCACATATGTCGAGTGCATAATTTGCATCAATCGTTTCTTCGTAACATGCAGCGGTTAGAGTATCTGAAGATCACGGACGCAACCCACGTGGCAGGGAATCTTGATCTCAGCTGCTATGAGAATCCCAACCTTGAAAAGCTATACGTATCTGCAGCCACGTTCTCCCGTAACACATTGCCAAGATTTTTCGAAAAATCTCCAAACATCCGTAGCCTGACGCTGTATCAGTGTTCGTACGAAAATATTCATGATTTGCAGCTTTCGTTTGCTCATTTAAAGTCACTGGAATACTTGAACCTTCAACGCACATTCGATATCGATGATAGCTTTTTTAGCAGAACCGTCTTCGATAGCGTTAATATGCCGTTCGAGCGTATAAGATTTTTCGCTGTTACCAACCTTAGTAAGCTGTGCTACTTAAACTTAAGCCGCTGTAGAGATCTATCCGACGAGACGCTGGTGGCCCTCAGCTTTCCACGGCTGAAGAAAATCGATCTCCGAGGATTGAACATTACGGACTTTGGGATACGTGCGCTGGTCCGACAATGTCCCAGGTTGGAGTACGTTCATGTGGATGCATGCAAGCGAATATGTGACAGCGCAGTGCTAATGTTATGCCGGGATTTGAAGCGATTAAAGTTGCTGAATTTGGACGGATGTCGATCGATCACGGACGCCTCGGTTGAACATGTCACCAATAACTGCCGAACGCTTGTGTGGCTTAACATGATGAACTGTCCGCTCCTATCAGAAGAAGCCAAACAACGGTTGGAAAGTGTGCGAAGCATACGATCACTGTACGTTTAGTGAAATGTGATGACGGTTAGCTCGGTGGTGGGAAACTATTTATTGTAGGATATGGAGACGCATCAATTACGAGACAACTCGAGACTTATCCGTCACGCGACTTGGCGGACCTGGCGAATGGCACAATAATCGTTTAATCCCGATTTAAATTTTGATCATTCTTGTGATTTAGAGAAAAGATATTTACACGACTTTCGGAGGGTGGTGTATTTACAAGTGATCGCGGTAAAAAAAAAACATTTTTAGATGCATTGCATTGCATACTGCTACAGTAGGATTTTGGCCATTGAGTAGAAAAAAAAAGTTTACGACAAAATTTAGAGATTTCGCTAAGTGTTGTGTTGTGGCATTGTGGGCGAACAAATATGTAGTAGGATAATTATATAACATATCGAAATACATATATTTTCAAACCTATGTAAAGACCCGTTTTCTTCGAGTGTTTGTGCCAGTCTGTGATCCGTGCATTTGTTTATAAATGTAAGTGGTTCATGAGACTCTAGCCCTATGTGATTGTCCGACTTTTCCCCGAATGAACTGTTTCCCTGAAAAAAATTTCCCCGAATGTACCGTCTCTCCGAAAGCGATGTACCGTGCAACCACGATGCAATTCAGAGCTTTCCATGCCAACAAAAGCATAAATTTGTAGCATTTATTTAAGTCAACAGAAACCAAGGTGTTGGAAACGCTACCTTTGAAGTTAAATTTGTTTTAATACACTGATATTGCATTATTTCGTCCGGACTTTTTTTTTTTTTAAATAAAATTTAACTTAATTTGTTGAATTTTTACTTTATTCACTAAAAAAAGTTTTCATGTAGTTTCTATTGGGAACGCATATGATATTTTTTCAACAACTAAATTAATGATTTTTATCTGAAATTCACATAACATTCATGTGATAAATCACATAAATTTAATTGGACACACAAGTTTCATGTGGTTATGTGGTGCAATTCATAATTTATTGGGAATTGCACCACATAATTACATAAAAGTTATGTGCAATTCTAGTGGATACTTTCCATTGGAAATGTGATTTATTTTTTGAGTGTATAGTTAACATAAAACTCTTTTTTTAGTAAGTATCATGTGTATCAAACCTACTCTGAATTATATACCTTGTTGCTCATCAATGCTCTAATAATTGCTGCTTCTGTATAAAGGGCAAGTCTTTTTTTTTCTTGGATTTGTTTTCCGTCGATCTTGTTTTCCGTGCTGAGCACCAATGCTACCGACGCCAGGAAGGCAGCTCCTACACCTGGACCCTACCTATACCCATCAACTCATGAACCGGGGACCAACGGCTTTACTTCCCTTCCGAAGGAAGGCGTGATCAGAGATGTTATGCCTCAGAACATCCCGGCGGCGCCGACTGGGATTGAACCCAGGCCTGCTGGGGTGAGAGGCAATCACGCTTACCACTACACCACCGGCGCCGCTTAAAGGGACAGTCGATTATTGGTTTATTTAAAACATTTATTTTTCTCCAACCAACTGATGACGTCGAAAGGACATCATACCTCCAATAGACGACCTTTTGTTGTAAGCACTCCTGACGATTAAGATTGTGAAGAAATCTCATCCGATTTCGCACTCTTCAATTTAATTTGGATATTGCAAATCAGGGCACATTTCTTAATATTAATTAAACTTACACTCAAAAACATTAAAAAACATTAATCGTAGCTTAGAAAAATCTCGGACACTGTTTCGACATTGCTCATGAAATTGGAATTTCATTTTTGCTGCACTGCGCCATTACCTTAAATGTGAAAAGAACGATCATCAATCAAAAGAAGGCAGAATCTCATTCGGGAAAGTGGCATTCGGGGTTAATGTAGCACAACAAATTATTGAATTATCGTATAGATAAATCATTTAATTCGAGCTAGTGATTATGGAACCGTTGCTGTCCCTTTGCAAGCAGTATTTGAGTGCTGAGCAACATGGGTTTACTGTCGGCCGCTCTACAACCACCAATCGGCTGTGTCTCACATCGTATATAACCGAAAGCATGTCGGATCGAGTTCAAACGGACGTTATTTATTCAGACCTATCCGCGGCATTCGACAAGTTGAACCATACTATTGCGATTGCTAAACTCGGCAGGCTCGCTGTATGCGGTAATCTTCTGAGTTGGTTTCGATCATATCTTACCGGTCGCCAACTAAATGTTGCCATAGGAGATTGCTGATCAGCTAGCTTCTTCATCTTATCAGGTATAAAGGGTGATACGGTCAAAATTTGAAATCGTTTATTTAAAAAATCAAATTAAATTTCTTTTTCAAGTTCAATTAGTATAAAATTCAGGAAAAATATTCAGTTAGGCTTCCGCTTTTCCAAATCCGAATTGCCGGGCCTTACGCTTGACCCCTGCCATCAGATTTTGTACAGCCACCTTGTCCACCTTCTTCGCCGCAGAAAGCCAGTTTGCCTTGAACTGCTGCTCGCCCTTAGCAGTTTTTTTGGTCTTCTTTAGGTTCCGCTTGACAATAGCCCAGTATTTCTCAATTGGGCGGAGCTCTGGCGTGTTGGGAGGGTTCTTGTCCTTGGGAACCACCTGCACGTTGTTGGCGGCGTACCACTCCATGGCCTTTTTACCGTAATGGCAAGATGCCAAATCCGGCCACAACAGTACGGAACAACCGTGTTTCTTCAGGAAAGGCAGCAGACGTTTATTCAAACACTCTTTCACGTAAATTTCTTGGTTGACAGTCCCGGAAGCTATGAAAATGCTGCTCTTCAAGCCACAGGTACAGATGGCTTGCCAAACCAGATATTTCTTTGCGAACTTTGACAGTTTCATGTGCTTGAAAACATCTGCTACCTTTCCCCTTCCTTTTGCCGTATAAAACTCCTGTCCCGGAAGCTGCTTGTAGTCGGCTTTGACGTAGGTTTCGTCGTCCATTACCACGCAGTCAAACTTCGTCCGCATCGTCGTGTACAGCCTCCGGGATCGCGCTTTGGCCGTCGTATTTTGTTTATCATCGCGATTTGGAGTCACTACCTTCTTGTAAGTCGATAGTCCGGCTCGTTTTTTGGCTCGATGCACGGTTGTAGACGATACACCCAGCTTATTTGCGGCATCTCGGAGAGAGAGGTTAGGGTTTCGCTTGAAACTACCGGCAACTCTCTTTGTCGTCTCAGCGGCTTCCGGTTTTCGATTTCCCCCCGATCCAGACTTCCTGGCTGTCGACAAACGTTCCCCAAACACTTTAATTACATTTGTAACGGTTGATTTGGCAACTTTTAGCGATTTTGCCAACTTTGCGTGCGAGTAGCTCGGATTTTCGCGATGCGCGAGCAAAATTTTGATACGCTGCTCTTCTTGCTTGGACGGCATTTTGACAACTGAAGAGTGAATTCCAAAATCAAAATAGGAGCAACATTCTACACACACACACCTTCAAAATGAGGGGTGTTCAGATTTTTTAAATGCAAAATTGAAAGAAACACGTCAAGTTGATATTGACCAAATTTTGACCGTATCACCCTTTAATAAAACAAATAAAACTAATAAGCAGTGAGCGCTCAACTTCCGAGCCAAGCAGACGTACTTACGCTATCGCTATTTCTGGAAGTCGATCTCAAGCTATATATCGTTTGTCACGCTGCGTTTTTCCATCGCCGAGCCGTAGCGTGTTCCCGCGTACTACGACTCCACGATGGCGCGTCGCGTGAACACATTCCGCATAGATTATGCGATGTTGCCGAAAAAACCGGACTATGCAAAAGTGCAAAACTTTGTTGGAACCATGTTGGGTTTAAAGCCCGGTGAAGTGCTGAGAATACAGTGTAGCAGAAGTCTCGGGTGTGCCTTCGTGAAGGTCGTCGACCTGGAGCTGGCACAAAAAGTGTGCGAAGAACACGACGGAAAACACGAAGTGCAAGTGAGTGAGGGGAAGATGGTTCCCCTGAGAATAACCATGGAAGACGGGGCAGTGGAGGTGAAGCTGTATGATCTGTCTTAGGACGTATCGGACGAAGCCATCATCAAATTCCTGTCCGCGTACGGTGACGTCATCTCAGTTCGCGAACACATGTGCGGAGGTGATTTGTACTTTCCGGGCATTTCCACTGGTGTTCGGATTGCCAAGATGATCGTGAAACACAACATCGAGTCGTGGGTCACTATCGACGGGGAATCGACGTTGCTATCCTATTTTGGTCAACGTCAAACTTGCCGACACTGCCGGGATTTCATCCACATCGGCGCCACCTGCGTGCAGAACAAAAAGCTGCTAGTGCAGAAGTCGTATGCCGATGCGACAAAGCAGCCTGCACCAACACCAACCAAACCAAATGCGAAGCCACGGAGCCAAAAGCCAACGTTGCAGACAAAACCCCCACCGTCGAAGAAGCCGAAACAGCAGTTGTTGTCGGTTACACAAAAACCAATTAACACGCAGTCGGAGACACAATTTCCTCCACTCACTCTCCCCATCATACCCGTATCGGGTCCAAAACCGCCGCCGGAGAAAAGGTCGCTGTCCAACACGTCCGGTCAACAGCCCCCTGATGGTGGAAAGTCCTATGGCAACGAGACAGACGACTCGGCAATGTCAACGCACAGTTCAAACTCTAGAGGACGCCCTAGAACCAGAAAGCGACGAGATGGTATCGATGACGAGCGGGATCTGGAAAACCAATCGTGAATCCAATCGCCAGCTACAACATCGCTACTATCAATATAAACACGATCACCAACGAAACAAAACTCAACGCCTTCCGAACTTTTATCAGACCGATGGAGCTTGACATCGTGTTTCTGCAAGAAGTGGAGAACGAGCAGCTCTCGATTCCTGGCTATAACGTTGTCGCAAATGTCGATCATTCGAGAAGGGGGACTGCTATAGCGCTAAAAGAATACATTCGGTTTTCCCATATAGAAAAGAGCTTGGATGGCAGGCTCGTTGCTCTGCGGGTTGAAAACACCACATTGGCAAACGTATATGCACCGTCGGGCACAGCAATGCGTGCCGAGCGAGAACGCTTTTTCAATAATACCGTCGCCTTTTATCTTCGGCATAACACCGAACATCTAATACTTGCCGGAGATTTTAACTGTGTGCTACGATCATGTGACTCGTCGGGCTTCAACAGCAGCCCCGCTCTCCAGGCCACGGTACAGCAGCTACAACTCAACGATGTTTGGGTTAAGTTGTACCCCACGACCCCCTCCTCCACATACGTAACGCACAACTCGGTCTCCAGGCTCGACCGCATATACGTCAGCAATGGTCTATGCACGTATCTCCGGAGTGCAGACACGCATGTATGCTCTTTTACGAACCACAAAGCGCTTACCGCAAGAATATGCCTCCCTAGCCTCGGACGCGAACCTGGCCGCGGTTACTGGTCCCTTCGTCCCCATATTCTCACTGCAGAGAACATCGAAGAGTTCCAGATTAGATGGCAGTATGTAACCCAACAGCGACGGAACTTTCCAAACTGGATAACGTGGTGGATATCATGCGCTAAACCGAAAATTCTTTCTTTTTTTCGGTGGAAATCTCGCGAGGTGTACAGGGAATTTCATGCTGAACACCAACGTTTGTATTCGCAGCTTCGGCAAGCATATAACAACTACTATCAAAATCCAACGATGTTGGCTACGATCAACCGTGTGAAAGCGCAGATGCTTACTCACCAGCGAATGTTTTGCCACATGCGTATCAACGATACATTCATCGCAGGGGAAAATATCAGCACGTTCCAGCTTGGCGAGAGGCGAAGGAAAAAAACCGTCATAACAGAGCTGGGTATCGAGAACGGCGAGACTCTAAACAGCTCCGAAACAATTGAAAACCACCTGCTAAACTACTTCAGGGAGCTTTACACAGCGTCTGACGAGAGCGAGGAGGCACAATCTTCTTTCCACTGCGAACGAGTGATTCCAGAAAGTGACGAGCGAAACGAGGCGTGTATGGCTGAAATAACAACAGCAGAAATAATGTCATCTATTCGCACATCGGCTAAATGGAAGGCTGTTGGCAGCGACGGCCTTCCCGTCGAATTTTACCAACGTACGTTCGATGTCATCCATCGAGAGTTAAATCTCGTTTTAAACGAAGCTATGACCACGGAGCTCCCCGCTGAGTTCGTCAACGGAGTGATCGTGCTTGTACGAAAGAGAGAAACTGTAAACACGGCACGAGGATACCGACCGATCAGCCTTCTAAACGCAGACTACAAAATCCTCAGCCGTATACTCAAATCTCGTTTGGAGATTGTGTTGAGGTCGTACCCGGTTTTGAGCGATGCGCAGAAGTGCTCTAACGAAGGGCACTCAATTTTTCAAGCAACTCTTTCTCTGAAGGATCGCATTGCAGAGCTGATAGCGAGAAAGCGGAGAGGGAAACTAATAAGCTACGATCTCGATCACGCTTTCGATCGAGTGTCCCACTCATTTCTCTATGGAACGATGCGGCAGTTGGGGATAAACCCAGCCTTCGTCGGTTTACTGGCTCGTATTGCCGGACAATCTTCGTCTCGCCTGCTGGTCAACGGGCATCCCTCACAGTGCTTCGCCATCGAACGTTCGGTTCGCCAGGGGGACCCTTTGTCTATGATACTGTTCGTCATCTACCCCCATCCGTTTCTGCAACAACTGGAGCGACTCGTCGGCCCCGATCTCGTGGTGGCTTACGCAGATGATGTGTCTGTTATAGTTACCAATACACGCGTGATTGAGCGCATCAATGACCTGTTCGGACGTTTTGAACGTGCCTCCGGCGCAAAGCCCAATAGATTGAAAACTGTTGCAATCAACGTCGGGCTCATTGATGGAGATCCACTGAATGTGCCATGGTTGCAAACAGTAGAAACGGTGAAGATTCTTGGCATTTATTTCACTAACTCAATCCGCGCAATGACTAAGATTAATTGGGATGCTCAAGTTACCAAATTTGCTCAACATTTGTGGCTGCACTCGATGAGGGGACTTAACCTTCAACAGAAGGTTATTTTGCTAAATACCTATATCACGGCAAGGATTTGGTACGTGGCATCAATCCTTCCACCATATTGTGTCCACACAGCGAAAATCACAGCACAAATGCAAAGCGCTTCTGGTGAACCGTCACTTACAGGATAGTGGCTCCCTTCCCTATTATCAGTCCCTTCTGAACCAAGCAATTCCTCCTCCGGCAGATCTTCCTTGCCTTAAACTATTAGCCCAACAAATTCCACTTCTCCCCCCACTTATCCGAGAACACCCCTCCAGCGACCAAATTCATCGTGTTCTTCTGGAGCGGACAGATAAAAAAAAAAAAAAAAAAAAATAAGCCACCGGAATTAAATTTGGTTAAACACCAAAATTTAAAAAAATCAATTTGACTTAACTGATGATTATAAAACGCATTCGAAGCCAAGCTATCCTTACATTAATGATAGATTGTTTTGGAGAGGAAAATATGGTATATATACATTCGATGAAATAATCATAAGCACATTCGGCACATTCAAAAGGATTTCTCAAAAATCAATCGAAACATGTTCCTAAAAACCGATCCAATATATTTAGCGATTCGATCGTTGTCTTAATGTTCCTTTGGTATTTGTAAGATTTCTTCTCTAATTGTTGTCGCAAGTGTTATTCAAATAGCACCTAATTCTAATCGGTAAAAAAAAAAACGTTATATATAAATAGGAAGAGAGAAATTTGACTGTTGTATTGGGAAATCGACCTTTCCCGGCAAAAGAGCGAATCAAAAGTTCACTTTTTAGTCCAAATCTTGTGCGCCTTGGAATCAGTATCAAAGAGACTTTTTACCATTACGACTTGACAGAAACCTACGCAAATCATTATAATAATTTGGAAAAATGACCAAGCATTTACCTTGAAATAATTCTCTTCGGCCATATTCCGGTCGCGGGCCTCGTGCGATCGGAGTACATCCTGAAATTGTCTAGCCTTCGTAAGATTGTTCCTTACGCGCTATTTGAAAGAGATATATCATTAATGATTTAAATAGCTTTGTACAAACACTCTACTTACTTTGATTACGTCCTGTACATCCTGAACTTTCATGTCATAAAACTCCTCCGGACTAAGTCCTTCGAGAATGTCAAAATTACTCCAACCTGCATCCTCGTCTTCATTCTCAATGATAATTTCAAAGAATACCGTCTTGCTGTTCACTCGGCTAAATTCATTGCTAAAGCAGAACGTCAGCTCCGTATCGTGCGTTAGTTTGTATCGATGGATGTTGTCCGACTTTTTGTAGTCGGCGAAAATAAGCCTTCCTGAAGAGTCGGCCAGTTCGAAGCTGATATCAAAATCTCCGTGGGAACCGTCAATCACCTGATATTCGAGATCTACCGTTTGATCAGCCTGTGCATTTTCGTAGAAGCAATCTCTTCCTCCCGGCGTAATGACGATGGTAAATTCTTTCTGTAGGCAGAAGATTCCATTCAGGAGGGAGCTCAGCAAGAGTAGTACCAAATGTATCTATACATAAGCACGTGAATAATAAGGCAAGCAAAGGGAATAGATATCAAATATACGAACTGTGAAATCCATTATTATGGCACCAGGAAATAAGATTTTTTTGCAAAATCTTGCAGAATGTCAACAAAAATGCCGAAACTTTCGATGATCGATGAAAGACGTTGTTATAAGCGGTATATCTGGAAACCCTATCAGTGACGTAAACTTTAACCAGGGATGCCAGGTTACACGCTATTTCAAAACTACTGGTAGTCAAGGCTCGATGTCAATTATACAAGGTCTGGTCCAACCGGCTTATTGGTATTAGTGAAATGTGGAAATGTTTAGCGATGTTCGTATTTCATCGCAATGTTTATCTTTTTACACGAAACAGCTGTTTTCTGTGACGACACGTCTGCCATTCGTAGTATGGAATGTTGTGATGTCGTGACATCGTCATTCGTTTGCTCAGCAATGTTTACAACATTTTTGCTTCCAACACCAGCAAGCTGCCTGTCGTTCCAGACCTTGTATGATTGACATCGGTCCAGACCTTGCCCGCATAAGCTCGAACCATAAATTGACCTTACCTAAAATGGTTAAAATTGTTTATAATCCCTGCTAAACTTCAACTGAAATGGTTATGGAACTTTACATGAACGTTTAATGATAAAGTTTTAACCTTAAGTATTATAGTTTTTTGGAAGTGGACCTTACAAATAATGGGTTGTTAAGAACCATTACCATTCAAAATTCTTGTTTTCTCCATACATTTTCGGAAAGAAAACTATACTAAAACCTTTTAACTTATGGTTTGAGAACATTAATGGTAATGGCTATGGTAACCAGTAAGGTCCATGAATGGTTTTGTAACATCGATCAACTTTATGTGGAATATATCGCGAATTGGTTGCCTGTAAATTAATAATTATCATATCGCGATATATTCCACGTAAAGTTGAGCGATAATACAAAACCATTAATGGACCTTACTGACTACCATAACCATAACCATTGATGTTCTCAAACCATAAGTAAAAACGTTCTAATATAGTTCTCTTTCCGAAAATGTATGGAGAAAACAAGAATTTGGAATGGTAATGGTTCTTAACAACCCATTATTTGTAAGGTCCGCTTCAAAAAAACCATAATACATAAGGTTAAAACTTTATCACACAAACGTTCATGTAAAGTTCCATAACCATTTCAGTTGAAGTTTAGCAGGGATTATAAACAATTTATAACCATTATCGGTAAGGTCATGTGATGGTTCGCGTTTATGCGGGTGGCGCACAATGTAAAAGTTTCCTAGTTTTTTGACAGATAATGCATGAGCTAATTGTCAGAAAACCTGAAAACTTATCCATTGTGCGCCAAACTTCAACGTAGCGTTTATGCGGGTAGCGACCCGTATAAAAAATGACCATATCAGTGCTAACATTTGAAAACGGCGCAAAAGCCATTTGTAAACAAATGGTTTGTGGGCCCTTTACTCGCTACCCGAAGAACGCCCACGCAAACCAACAGCATCGTCAGGAAGGGGAAAATTTCCCCTACCCGATGTTGCTGTTGTGTCGCGTGGGTGTACTTCAAGTAGTGAGTAAAGGGCCCACAAACCATTTGTTTACAAATGGCTTTTGTGAGGTTTTCAAATGTTAGCACTGATATATAACCATATAGAGACACAATGAAATGTATTGTAACCAAACAATATAATTTAATGTATTTACAATAAATCATATTGTCTACAACGACAATATAAATAATTAGATAAATAAGCGGCGCCGGTGGTGTAGTGGTAAGCGTGATTATCTCTCACCCCAGCAGGCCTGGGTTTAATCCCAGTCGGCACCACCGGGATGTTCTGAGACATAACAGGGAACACGCAGAAAAAACATAGTTCATTCAAATAAAGCACGATTCATTTCAAACAAAATTTTGAATAGGATATAGATCAATAAAATCCATAGAGTAATCCAATAAAAATATTGAATTGAAATAATGCCACCAGCTTTATTGAATTAAACATCGATTTTTATTGATTCAAAAAAATGTTTACTTGAATCAACCTGCAGCATTTTTTAGAGCAACGAATAATTTTAGTTGTAGAGATTCATATTTTTTTATTGTATCAAAATCAAATTTATGTAGGTAAATCAATAAATATTTTTTTCCCTTATTTCAGTGCCAACATTTCAAAGGGGCGTAATTGCTTTTGTAAACAATGGCTTTAGCCGTCGATTTCTCGCAAATAAAAGCCCACCCCTTCAAATTACCAATGCTAGCTGGGACAGGAAACATTCATCTACCTGCTGGTGTCATTCATTTTCATGAGTGAGCTTTCATTCGCGAGAAATCGAAGACGAAAGTCATTGTTTACAAATGCAATTACGCCCCTTTGAAATGTTGGCACTGATTTATTCTATGTCAATTCAGGTTTTTAGAAAATTGCGAACAATACGCTTGCTCGCATAAAAAGCATTCTTCGAGTCGGAATCAAATTCAATCATATCATTCAAATATGAAAACGTTAACGAACCAAATTTGTAACAATTTTATGGTATTGCGTGTTTACTGCGTTTTTTTCACGTCACCGCTGAAATTGTAATTAAATCTTATAACCGTGATAAACCATAGAGAATGTCGATGAAGAGAATCGATCAACGAGGATAGGTTCTTTTCAAATGATACGCAAGAACTGTCAGACTATGGTGGTAAGCTCAAACCATTAGTATTGTCTGGTTAAATCCCAACCATCAATGTCGGGCAACTGTAAGGCCACAATCCGAATTTATTTATTTAACTCTGTACAAACATTTGGCAGTAATTTCGAGCAGAGCCGATATTGAAATATAATCCTTGTTGCAAATTATTTACCGTCATCAGAATCACATCACACCACCCCATCAGTTTTCGATTCCCTTTAGTTGCACAACTCGCGTCGCGAATCTTTTTGATATCAGAAAGAAGTGATTCTAATTCTAGCCTCGCTGTCATAATTCGTAAATCGTAATCTATTTCGCTGTTGTACACGTAGTGAGATATAGCTGGCCAGCGAAAAAGAAAACGCAATTTATCCATTACATTGCATGTCGATGTATTTATTATCGAAAATATCATTGCATCCACCGATTTCAACACCAAAAACGACTATTAAAAATAGTGTATAGTGCTTGCTATCTGTTGCTAGCTGAACAATAAATGTGTGATCCAAAACTTGTATTGTTGAAAAAGTGCTGAAAACTTTTTAGTAGTTAGTAAAACCTTTCCAGACTTGCTCAAAGATAGTGACCGTGTGAATACGTGCAACAAAGTGCAACACTGCTTCCCCGGAAGAAACCTTAAAATTGATACAATTTCGAAGGCGTCATCAGCTAGAAAAGTGATATAGAACGGTAAGTGTTGAGTAAACATCGTTTGTCTTGGCTTATATACGTACATCAACCATATTATATTATTACATATATTTTGAATTGCAAACCAAACAAAAGCCGGGAAGTAGGTATTTTTGAAATAGAGGATAATATCACTACCTGATGTAATGTATTGCCACTAGCAGGAAGAATGCAATAGCTTTTAAATGGATCCAGTGAGGAGAAACCGGTTCCTGACATCTATTTCACAGCTCACTTGGGCTAATTTGTGTTCTGTTTATTGTCCACCTGCACATTGCAGTGCATGTTCATAATACGCTTTGATAAAACTAAAAGAATTTGACAAACGTAGTATCAAGTATTCAATCACTAAACTGCCGATGGAAGCATAATTGTCCCATGTGTATATGAAACTCCATAGCACATAGGATATTTATGCGGCAGTAAACTACTAACAGCGAATTCGTTTATTATCGGTGTAACCCACACGGTATACCTCGTATAGGTTTTAAAAACAAACGATCAAACTGACGTTTGTCAGAAAACAAGCAAACCCAATCTTGATACCCGATCCAGGTTGGAACTAAATAATAAACGAATTCGCTATAAGTATATATGATTGCAATTTTTGATAGCGGTAGTGGCCGAAAAAACTCATTCAAGTTCGCAAGAATCACTAAGGCAAATTTTTTAGCTGTTTTCGTCACATAGAGTCAATAGCAGCTTCGGCAGACTGGGAAATTGAGTCCTTGAGCATTCAATGTAAGACAAACTGTGCTCTGATACATGATGCATTATCACACAAAAAATAAGCGCTCAAGGACTTTTTTTTAATTTTAGTCGTTTCAACGCTTTTGGGTCATACGTGATTTTTTCGGAGGTGATATTTGAACTCGTGACTTTGGCGTGAGAGGTATTGGTGCCAACGACTAAAATAAAATTAACATAGGGTAGAGAACTACTTCGGCCTAATCGCCCATTTTGAGCTTAACGAGCAGACAACATCACATTCATCTATGATTTCGGCACTAACGAGTCAATTATATCTTTGGTACGATACGTTAGTTCAAAAGCTGCAACACTAAGTCTTTAAGAACGCAAAGTTTGAATATTTACAAACCTTTTGACGTAGGAATACGTCTTTCATTTCTATACTGGGGGTCACATAAAAAAAAATCAAAATTCAGACGTGTAACGAAAAATCCCAAACACGGACGCAACGATAGAGCGCAAATCGAACAAACGACACATTGCGCATGCTCACATGAGCGAGCTCAATGCTGTTCGCAGATGATACCGCAATAAATAGCCGTCAAAGGAAGGATGCCTCGCGATTTTCATTAGAAAAATCGGCTGGAGTAGATAATGTTAATGCTAGAGTTATTCAAGATTGCTTTCATGTCATTAGCCACGTCTTGCTGGACCTTATTAATGAATCATTGCAAACTGGACATGTGCCACAAATTTGGAAGAAATTCTAGGGACCACATTCAAAAAGTTGCTGAAACGATTAAAGCCGAAGAGTTTTGTCCCATCAACATGTTGCACACATTAGAGAAAATTTTAGAACTTGTTGGCCAGCTGTTGGAGTATTTAAATAGTAATAGTTTGTTGATACCAGAACAATCGGGATATCGGGAAGGTCATTCTTGTGAAACCGTGTTCTTGTGAAAGCTTTTCTAAACTTAAATGAACTTAAAGTATATTTACGACGATCTGCAATAAGATCATAGTATAGAATTTATACAGATTATTTCACAGATTATCGTCTGCCAGAAACAGATTAAAAAGATTTTTTTTATGGTGAAAATACAGATTGAAAATGGAAATAATTGCGTCTTCGTATTGGTGCGATGCGTGCTGTTCCACTCATACATTGTGTCCGACGCTTATCCGTCCGTTGCTCGAAAGTAAATGACAAAGAAAACTATTTGGCAAGCGTTTTTATTATCGCTGCTTTTCTCCTCCCTTCCTTTCATTGGTGAAATGGTGAGCGATCAACCGAGCATTGAGCTCGCTCATGTGAGCATGCGCAATGTGTCGTTTGTTCGATTTGCGCTCTATCGTTGCGTCCGTGTTTGGGATTTTTCGTTACATTTTGATTTTTTTTTAATGTGACCCCCAGTATAGAAATTAATTATTTTGTCAAGCTTCTGCATTCATGTTTCACCAGATGTCACTACTGTTGCGGTAACTAGGCATAATCTATTTTCCGTTAATTGTTCATAGAGGTCAGTGCAGTGCAAAACATGTCTGGTACATCTATATTATGCACTTAGTTTAATATTCGAAGTCCCTCCCTTTTTACATATTCTGCACAAAAAAAATACATCCGAAGCCTCTCCTTTTCTACACATTCTGCACACAAAATAACTCACCCCTCACAGGATTTCCCGCACGGTTTTTATGAATGGGGCGGGGCAGAAAGTATCTTTTGTGCAGAATATGAAAGAAGGAGGGATTTCGAACACAGCAAAAAATAATTTTTAATATTATATCCAAGAGGATGCACTTCAATCATGTCGAAAATCTCATGTAATTTTTATGACCACAAAAATAAACAAATGTAGTAAAAGCAGTGCAATGTCAGTTAATGCACTTTATTAATGATAATTTTGTCCTTTTTGGCAAGTAAAATTACTCCATATTTTTGACACGATTGAAGCAACAATCAATACGAAACTAACGATATTAAATTGGCTCACTACTTGACTAGCCTATTGGTCCCAAGCAAACGATTAACGCACCCCATTCTAGTCGAAATTCTACTACTACACAATGTTTGTTTTGATTCGCTATGAAAGTTTGACAGATAAAATGAGGGGTTAGTGGATTTTCCTATGTTTCGAGGGGTGAATCGATTAGCTTGGGACCGAAGATAGTACAAGAGCTGTGCCAAAAAGTTGAGCTCGTTATTTCGGGACCTTCTAGTCTTAGAGTTACGTCTATGATTGAAGTGCATCCAGTTTGATGTGATATCAATTTTTTTTGCTGTGAATTTAATCTAAATGCATATATAGAGGTACCAGACATTTGTTGTAGTGACAGGTACTCTATGTTGTAATCTGTGAAAGAGAAATCACAAATCGAGTGTCATCAAAATACATGGCATGTTGAGAGATTGAGCTCGTGAGTGAGAATTTTCTTTCTCAAATTTGATTTTGTTGGTGGACTGTTAGTAAAACGGTTAAAAATGTATGGGAAAAACCTTTTTTATTTAATTGTATAACTTGTTTAACAATAATTCCCAGGAAAACGACAAAGTCTATTATGTTGTCGTCAACTTCTTTTGACCAGAATATGCATCACAAGCGTATTGTTTCCACTAATAAAAATTTCTAGGGGATTTTTATTACTTACTACCAATCGTACAGCGCCATCTGCGTGAAAAATAGCCTTAACTAAATGGTTCATTATAGACGTAGCCCTACGTCAAAAAAAAAAAAAATACTTGTTGGTAGTTAAAACTTCCTCCACCACGAAATAGACAATTTATAGTTTTCACGCTTTACGAATGTTCGTACCACCTCTGATAGCGATGGCTATGCTTCCACCTCGTTTGTCTACTCAGAGCAGCAAATGACGTTCGATAGAATTATTAAGGTGCTGAGCCAATACAAAATGAATTTCAATTTAAGATGACTATTACGCATTACGCATTCCAATTGAAGGCCCTATCCCTTTTCATAACAATGTTCATCCTGTATTCGAGAGGAAAATCATCTGATTTCAAAACAACCGTCATCATAGTGCAGCTATCATTCGAAAAGGCGATTTCGATTTGTTTCGATTTGAATGGTCGTAAGATAGAGGACGGTGGTTTGGTACAATGTAGGGAAATGGGGAGTAAAACCGACACCTTAACCTAGTTGTACAACGAACTTATAAATAGGGGAAGTGCACCAGTATTGGTCATAGGTTCCCATTTTGGCCACACCTCAGAAAACCGATTAATAGGGTACGCTTATAGATTTACTTGGGACCAATAGGCTAGTCAAGTAGTGAGCCAATTTAAAATCGTTAGTATCCACCGGTTGGTAGAACTTTAATTGATCACGTTTATTCCAATTTTGATTCTATTTGTTGGGTTTCGGAAACTGATTTGAAAATAACCTATCATGGTTCTCAAACTTTTGTCGATTGCGACTTACTTTGAAAAATTGTATAGGCTCGCGACCCACCCATATTGAATACATATGAGGTAAGGTCGAAATTACCTTAAAAACTTCAAAATGACGTCGCCAAAACACATCAAAACTGCATTGTATGCAATAAAACGAGCCAAAACTATTAAAAAATAGCCAAAAATAATGAAATTAATCTAAAACGCAAAATCAGTCCAAAATCGACAAACTAAATAGAAAAGCACTTCAAAATCATAAAATGAAAAAAAAAACTAAATCGAATCGACGTAGCATTGGTGCTCAGTACGGAAAACAAAATCGACGGAAAGCAAATCATGGCAAAAAATACAGTAAGTTGCGTAATACCCCGTTCACATTACAGCCTATATCACATAATATAGGCTGTCTTGCAATGAGCACTCATACATAGGATTTCCAGTGAAAACTAGATGTATGAGTGCTCATTGCAAGACAGCGTATATCACGTGATATACGCTGTAATGTGAACAGGGTATAAGGCACGATTTTTTATCAGTACAAGCAGGAACCGGGATGTTTAATTATGATTGAAAGCGATATCTGACCGAAATAGTTAAATTTAAATCTTTAAAAACTGATGACCTCTAGAATACGAAATATATTTCTCAGACTGACGAATAAATGCGATGAAGATCTCTTTAGAAGGAACAAATCTTGTGTCTCAACTAGCACAATCGTGCAAGAAACAATTGAGAGTTCTACACAGTTTGAAAAAGTAGTGTAAATTTCTGTTCAATATGATGCACATATGGAGCATCACATCTCATCTAAGTTTACATTATAAATAGTGTAAAGTTCTGAGACATTTCCTGAAATGTTGCAAATATTGTATACAGAAGTCCATATTTGTAAACAACA